AATAGGTTGCTTACCAAAGATGGAAGTGTGCCAGTGGGGATTGGCTCTCTTTTAAATTTATTATTATTATTTTTTATATATAGGAGTGCCTGTTGGCGTTTTGTTACAGTGCCACTAGATTATAGGTTTATAAAAAGTCTCTTGAAATGCTCTCTTTTAAGGAGGTCTAGGCGGATTTTGCCGGCTTTCAGGTTCCAACTGATTTTGCATCTTACATGTCATTTCCTTTAGTTGATTATGGTAATAGTTGGTGCACTATTACAATTTTGTTCATTTGTTTAATATTTACGCATGAGATTCTTATTTGCCATTAGATTGAATTGATGTCTGAAGGTTCGGTATATTCATTAAAATTCTAGTGGAAGCTGGATTTACATGACAAATTATCTTATTTACGTTCCATTTTGTAGAAGAAAATTTCTTTTTCAAGTCAACAAATTTATTGTCTTTGGAATTGATGAAATAGGTTGCTTACCAAAGATGGAAGTGTGCCAGTGGGGATTGGCTCTCTTTTAAATTTATTATTATTATTTTTTATATATAGGAGTGCCTGTTGGCGTTTTGTTACAGTGCCACTAGATTATAGGTTTATAAAAAGTCTCTTGAAATGCTCTCTTTTAAGGAGGTCTAGGCGGATTTTGCCGGCTTTCAGGTTCCAACTGATTTTGCATCTTACATGTCATTTCCTTTAGTTGATTATGGTAATAGTTGGTGCACTATTACAATTTTGTTCATTTGTTTAATATTTACGCATGAGATTCTTATTTGCCATTAGATTGAATTGATGTCTGAAGGTTCGGTATATTCATTAAAATTCTAGTGGAAGCTGGATTTACATGACAAATTATCTTATTTACGTTCCATTTTGTAGAAGAAAATTTCTTTTTCAAGTCAACAAATTTATTGTCTTTGGAATTGATGAAATAGGTTGCTTACCAAAGATGGAAGTGTGCCAGTGGGGATTGGCTCTCTTTTAAATTTATTATTATTATTTTTTATATATACGAGTGCCTGTTGGTGTTTTGTTACAGTGCCACTAGATTATAGATTTATAAAAAGTCTCTTGAAATGCTCTTTTGATCTAATGGGTTTGTACTTTCATTTGTTTCAGAAAATGGGTGAAGCACCTATTAATCCATAATTTTTTTGTACATGTACAACTTGGTTAAAGCTTGTTGATGTGAGATCCATTTCCGATTTCTTTCATTTAGCTTAATGAGTAAGGCCATCTCCAACCGAATGGTATTCTCCGGTTCACAGTACCTGTGAGTGTCCAACTGAACGACAAATCAAACGCCATTTTTGTGTTTTTCCCACTGCGCACAACAGAGAGAAAACGTAAAATGCTTTTATGTTTTGTGTTCAGGTGGGGAAACTCGCGGAAACAACAAACATACAATAGCCAAATGACGTTCGATTTGGTTGGAGATGCTCTAACAAGACTTTCTTCATGATGCAATAAACATTCTAAAATGTCACTGATCTCAGGATCAGTATAGAGGAAGCCTTATTTTGTTATCATTGCTATGTTTTACCTTCTTGAGATATTTCACAATAAAAAAGGAAAATTGGTGTTATATGTATATTCATAATTGTCCTGGTAGGCTGAGGATGAAGAGCTATATGGGGGCTAATCAGGCCATGGTATATATCATGTATGGTTTACAGTGGGCCATAATTAATAATGTACTTTTTTTTTTACCTTTTTGGATGTAGCTTTCTCTGTAGCTCTCAGAATCCTATAAATAAAATTTAAAATGCACATTTTGGATCTTTTTGAACATCATTGATCTATTGGAGCATTCTTAGGAGTTTCTTAATCTTTTCCTAGATTGTCTAAATTCTATCCTCTCTTTTTCATGCTTACTCTAAGTTATGAGGTTCTTATCTTTTGGTGTTGTTTACTAGTAAGATCGAGTGTAATCTATGGATATATTTTGATCCAACACCTTGAAAGTTATGGTGAGTGTAGATTGATGCTAGTGATTAGAAGATAAACATATTTAGTAGAGTAGTAGAACCCAAAACAATCCATGAACATGGGTGCTCCAAACTACACAACTTCTCGCAATATCATGGAAATAGAAAAAAAAAACTCACGAAGATGATCTTGGATACCTTGGGAGGATTATTGAGGCTTTCATTACGAGAAAGTGCACTAGAAGGATCTTATGACTCGACTATTTGCTATAGGAGATTAGGGACCCGACTGCTCTCCTTAAAGCCCAACGTTGATCCCACTCAGACCTCCATTAGCTATGAAGAGTACAATCGTCCACGGCTACTAAGGAGAGAAGCACTTGAATTGACTAACACTTCTCGAAGGAGATAGCAGTGAAAAGGTTGTCTCTAAAATATAAGATGTCGAACCTAGAATCTTACTGGGGAAGAACTGACCCTGCTGATCATGGCGCTAACTTTGAATTCATGACGCTGTTGCTTGACGTAAATGATGCTTTTTATTGTTGAGTTTTCTTTACTATCTTTATAGAGACAACACTTTAGTGATTCACTTGTCTGCTTGTAGGAATGATCACTTATTTGTCGAGTTTAAAAAAAATGTTAAACACACAATTTGTAAGTGCCGAAAAGCCTCAAAAGAATTTGGAAGCTCTCCTAAAGACACGCGAGTAGTTGGGCAAGTTGCTTTGTAGCTTCATTGTGAGATTTCAAAGAGAGTTGCTGGAATAAAGGGACATATAGCCAGTCGTCGCCCATAATGTTCTAGCTTAAGGATTGCGAGAAGGTCAGTTCTGCTTTGTACTGGGCTATAATAGCCAAAGATGTTTGTTGGGTTGCTTGAACTCGCCAACACCTAGGCCAATGCCAAGTACAATTGAGTAATTGAATCCTTCTCATCCACTTGCCCTAGAGGCTTAGTACAAGGAATGATCATCCCCATGGTTGGGAGTGTGAAAGAAGTTTCCCAAGGTTACCCATGATGCGTGCTTCACGTTGTCTAAATTACCTAAGTGCATCCCTACAAGCAATATTGCTTAGGATAGTTGGCCCACTCACACCTAGAATGGAAGAAGTGCCATGCGCCACTTGCCCTCTTCATATAAAAGGTACACACCATGACCCTATCTATCTCACAGCCACTCCCTTGTGGGTATTAACAGTTGAGCTCATAGAGGCAATCCGGAACAAAGAATTCTTTATGCGCTCTCCACCTATGAAGACAAATGCGCATATGAGGGATGCCTCATGATGCTTTGCCTTCCATAGAGATTATGAACATGACATTGAGGATTGCCGAGACCATCGCAAACATGTCGAGGACCTCATCAAGGTTGGAAATTTGAAAGAGTTCGTATTTGCCGACTTTGGTTGGCGCTCAAGGAAGGCTTCCATGGTGAGCAATGGGAATAATCCTATTCCTGTTTGCTCACTTCATACTGTAGAAGTTGCACTTGCCATCTAGGTTGAGAACGAATTATGTCATCTATAGTAGCCATCTCCAAAAGGTTGAGGACAAGTGAAGTTAAATTGTCCAACATCTTATGGACACTAGTAGTTGAGATTGCCCTGATCAACTTCTGCATAGAACAGAAAGAAAAAAAAGAAGGAATCCCTTCAACGATGCTGTGGTCGCCGCCGTTTTGATCGTTAACTATTAGACCAGGAGTGTCTAAATTGACATAGAGCATTTTGTTAATTTTATCTTTAAATCTATTTTTTGAAAAATTAATCTTCTTGCCTCTTAACTCACCCTCATTTTTAGGTCCTCTCTTTGGCTTTCTTGTGAGTGTAGGGACAATGAAGCCATGATTTCCCTACCTGGCACATGGGGCGAGGGCAACCATTAATACACCGCCATGATAGACTTTATAATCATGGAGATGCCAACCACTTACAATGCCATATTCAAGCAACCTTTGTTGAACACATTCAATGCGATCATCTCAACCTATCATGTAGCAATTAAGCTCTCCGTAGGCTGTCGAAAGATCACATTAAAGGGAGACCTCACTCATTCATACTTGTGCTACTTGAAGGCCATGGTGAATAGGGCTAAAAATGAATCCAGCCGAGCCGAGCAGAGTATATGCGTGTTCATGTTTGAGTTCGTTTATTATCACCTTGTTCAAGTTTGGTTCGAGCTCAACTTGAGCTTTTTTGTTTTTGTTCAAGCTTGGTTCGTTTAAATTAATGGATGTTCATATTTGGTTCATGTTCGGTTCATTTTATGCTTATCGAGCTTTAAACAAACGAGCCTTATCGAGCTATAAATGAGCTTTAGTTCTAGATTTTCATTAACATAAGAAACGAGCCTTATCGAGCCTTCTAACAAACAATTATATCGAGCATGTTCATGAACATATTTAGCAAAGTTTTTAAACTATCAAACAAGCTCGTTCACGAATATATCTAATGAGTATTCTTGAGCTATCAATTGATCGCATTTATGAACATAACTAATTAGCATTTTTAAGCTACCAAATGAGCTCGTTCACGAACAAATGATCTATAATTCATCTTATATTTGCTCATGAACATTTTAAATAAATAATCTAGCAAACATGAACAAATTCATTCTATTGAAGGTATAAAATAAAAGAAAAGCTTCTTATCAAGTTTCTTATTGAGCTTCGTATTGAGCTTAATGTCGAGCTTGTTCACGAGATTTAAATGACGTTGTTCATGAACATAAATGTGTTGAATGTGTTCAATCTTGTTTATTTAAGGATCGAGTATTAAAAAAAATGTGCAAATGTGTTTGTTTAATTAATTAAATGATCATGGATGAGCTTTAATCGAACCGGGCAACGAGTAGCTCATCGAACGCTTGGTTAATTTGCATCCCTAATGAGGAAGGTGGTGACATCTTTGGAGGAGGTGCTATAGTTTGAGGCTAAGCAAGGAGTAGGGATGAAGACAACTGAGGTAATGGAAGCTCAAGTTACAATATGGGACCTAGAAAAGACACTAAGAATAAGCACATCTTTCAGTCAAGAACATTGAGACAAACTTATCTAAGCTCTCGTGGACGACTTAGATGTCTTTGTTTGGACAATGACATAGATGTCGGGCTTTGATGAATAAGTCCTCTGCCATAGGTTAAATATGAAGTGGTGAGCTAGGCCAATTAAATTGAAGATAAGGAAAGATTGCCGCTACACACCTCGAGTTAATAAAGCAAGATATGAAGAAGTTACTCGATGCTAGCTTCACGCCTTCATCAAAGAAGTGCACTACCCACACTAGTTTTTCAATGTGGTTATGGTATAATAGGCGATTAGCAAATGGAGAATGTGTGTTGATTTCACGAATCTTGACTTCGTATGCTTGAAAGATAGATATCCACTTTTAAGAATCGACTCGTTGGTGGACTTAGTAGTTAGATTCTCAATGAGGAGTTACCTAGATGCTTTCTCGGAATTCCAACAAATTTGAATACACCCGGACGATTGTGAACAAACTTTCTTCATGATAGAGGAAGGCTTGTATGACAAAGGCCATGCCGTTTGTGCTCAAGAAAGCTAGGATGACCTATCGAAAGACAATGGATCATGTTTTTAGGGAGCAGAAGGCAAGAACATTGAAGTGTATGTGGATAACTTGTTGGTGATGAACAAGTCACTTTATCAATATATTCTAAACTAGAAGAGACTTTCGCTACAGTCAAAAGGTATAATTTGTGGCTGAATTGTTTAAATGTATTTTTAGTGCAGGTTCAGGAAAGTACCTCGGATTTTTACTTACAACCAGGAATATGAAAGTCCATTTAGACAAAGTTAAGGCGATTTTGGAGATTTCATCACCGAGGACTCCCAAGGATGTGTAATGATTTATTGGACGAGTCTTATTACTTAATCACTTCATCTCTAGATCGAGCACATGGTTCTTTCCTTTTTTTTTAAGTGCTAAGGATTGCAAAGAAATTCAACTGAGGTGAGGAGTGTGAAACTGCTTTTCAATAGCAATGTTTCTTCTCTCATTGCTTCCACTACTTCATAGTTTATGAGCAAGTGAAGACTTATGATTATACCTTGTAGTCTGCATGGATGTGATAAGATTAGTGCTCGCTAACGAGGAAGGTAGGAAATAATTGCCAATCTACTATGTCGATAGCCAATTATGGGAAAACTCATATGAGCTCTTATAACTCCTACTCATCGGCTACGTTCGTACATCCATGCACACTCAATTTAAGTTGTCACTGATCACCCGCTCAAAGTTGTGCTCGCTAAGCTGAATCACTCTGGTAGATTACTCAAGTAGGTGGTGGAGTTAAGCAAGTTTCAGATCTCATGCATACCCATAATGGCTATTAAAGCCTAGACACTTGTAGATTTCATAGTTGACTTAAACAGCCCCAAAGATGACCACGAAGTAGTAGGCATGTAAAGTCAATCTTACACTATTTATGTTGACAAAACCTCAGGAAAATAGGGAATAGGGATAAGTGTCCTCAAAAGCCCCATAAGCATAATAGTAATCCAAAAAACGAGCATAAAGTTTCTAGTCACAAAGAATCAAGTTGAGTATCAAGCCTTACTCATTTGACTGAAGTTTAATGCGGGAATAGGCGCCATCTAACTAGTGTCCTATTTTGACTTGTAGCTGATAGTAA